AGCTCAAATTCTCCACTGGTCACAGCCACTGGTCATATTCCTAAGTTACAAAGCCTTTGTCCTTTCTACACTGGGAATATCTTCTGCAGGTTCTGCTGTGATTCTTTATTTTCCTCAGGATGCCTAAATTCATCCGGCACAAATTCCTTCTGATGTTAAATTTGGGCTTGAAACGGTATTTTCCTTCTCGAACCCTGTTTTGGGGCTAAATATGACATGTTGGAGGATATTTCTCCCACTGCTGCCTGCTCTTCTAGTGGTAAAACTGGAATTAAAGCAAAAAAAATGCTTTTGTTGGTGATAAGGAATCCAGTAGATAAAAACTACCACAGCCACATGCTGCAAGGCTGGAGGAAGGAAGAGTCTGTTTAGAACTGCAGTAAATGTGTTGATAAACACAAATCAAATGCAAATTAAGTAAAAGCTTTTCATATACTCCATTCTCCTCGAGATCAGACAAAAATAAGTGCCACGTAAACAAATGGGGCTTTTATGAAACGCTCCAAAAATAAAACCACTCTTGCAATCAGGCCAAACATGAGATCGTCCCCGTGTCTTTCCAGCTGCTGAGAGGTGTTGTTTCTCTTTGCATCACAACAATACTCTAAAGATCTTGTTTTAAATTCAAACCAGTTGTGGCAGGTGTTGTGAAGGGGTGTTGTGAAGCGAGTGTTTTCAGGTCGCTCAAAAAATCACCAGCAAAGGTATTGGTGGCAGCAGGTTTAACATAAATGCAACAGCACAAGAGAGCTTGTGGCAAGGTTCACTCTACTACTCACTAAACAGTTAAAACACACCGAGAAAAAGCACAGAAAAATCCAAAATCAGTGTCAGTCTGGACTGAAATAAACACAAGACCATGTATATGGAGGCTGTGGTTGTGGTGGGGTGGGGGGATAGGTGAGACAAAAGGACAGAAGATATAAGGACAAAAAGGGATATGGCCCAAAGACCTGGCAATGCTTAACTTTGCTTATGGCTTAATTTAGCAGCACTTAACTTATAACTTAACTTATAGCATTAACTTAACACTTATTAACTTAACAATCTAACTTGGATCTATATATGATTTACTACGCAATAAAAATGTTATTTGGTCAAAAATTTCCAGGTATGTTTGTTAAAAAAGCAAGAAAGTCATTAGACAGCACAACACTGTCCAGGAGCAGGCAGGATTCCTGACAAGCTCACAGGAGCTCAGCCTGGGCATTGTCAAAGCCAAGGCCTAAAGAGAATTACTCAGATCATTACTCAGGTCATGGTGTGGTCGGGGGGGTGACAAGGGGCAGGATGCACCACCAGAATGGGTTGATAAAGAGCCTCAACCCAGGTGACACAGCATAGAAAATGCCAGAGCTCAGAACAGATCCCAAATCCTATTCCCAGCTCAGTGCCTCTCGTCAATAAACCATGTTGCCTCTTACATAAGACAGTTCTTACCCAAAAGAAATATTTTTGGCTTTAAAACCAATCTGCAAGGGGAGCTAAGTTACAGTCAGGCCTTTCTTTTTTTTTTTTTTTTTTTTTTTTTTTCCTTTTTTTTCCCCCCTTTTTTTTTCCCTTTGAGAGGACAGGGAATAAGATGGAAAGCACTGAGAACAGCAGGCATGACTAGTAGATTTATCTCAGCCTCCATCCCTTCTTCAAAAGCTGTAAAGGATATTTCATCATCCTCTCTCTGGGGGGTGAGTGCTGACTAAAGGCCATCACACAGGTACTAAACCAAAAGCCCCGAGCCCAGGAAGCCTTGTTTCCCTCTGGGAAATCCTGAGATCATCCCGGGATAAGCTCATTGATTTTACTAAAAAGCATTAATATTAAAGCGTCCAACGCACTGTTGAGCTACACGGGTGATAATTAATAAATGATAAAGTAAAACACAGGCTGATGGCAGGGGCTCTTGGCTGCTTTGTCTTCCAGCACCATTTGATGCCATTTCATCCAAGCACTCAAGATGTTTCATTGAAAAACACGTGTGTTGTGGGTGACATCTATGTGCATTCCCTGGGATGGAGCCAGGAACCCCGGGAAGGTGCCAGGCATGATCCCAAAGGGCCAAGCAGCCACACCAGATTTCAGATTTTGAACCTGAAATCCCTCCAATCCCACAAAAAGGTCCTTCCATGCTGCTGGAAAATGGCTCTTCCCATGCCCACTCCGGCAGAAGCCTCTCCCAATTCTAGCAGCTCGGCGCTGGATGTGGTTTCCATGGAAATAGACGTCAGATCAGCAAAAAACAGGGCAAGTGTTTAAAATAATCTCTGTTTTGAAAGCTTTTTGCCTTTCTGTCACAATATTAACCTTCTGCAAGGTAAGATTTCTTTTCTTTTTTGGTGTAAAATCCTTGGTTTTAAGGGTGTGCACAACAAGAGGGGTCCCAGAAAGTCCTTTATTTGGGATTTTGGGTGTGGAGGCTGCTGAGCTGGGGCTGTGGATTTGTGCTGTTCTGTGTCCATCTGCCTTTTGTGTGGATTGACTCTTGTTGTAACTGGAGCGACTGTAGGATGGAAACCACCGCGGGAATTGTACAGAATTCCTCTGAATGGAACATGTGAACATTTAAAGCACGTTTGGGAGGGAAAAGCTTATCTGGGATTGGCAATAGCGTTATCCTGGGAAGGAAATGTTCCCAGGGCAGCCTGTAGGACAAGGACAGATCATTGTGGAGCCAGTCTGTCCATACTCTGGAATCTGCATGAGCAATGGTTTTCCTGGACGTGCTTGAACTTGCTGGTGTCACCCCAAAGGAGAGGGTGGCCTTGTCCCCCAAAGCACACTGCGGGGCCAAGGCATTGTCAGAGCCACAGACCCTCTCTGGGGTTGGCCTGTGGTGTTTGTGACCCAGAGGTGACCAAAGGGACACGGTGGTCATCTCAGCGATGACCAAGAGCCCTGAGGCCATTGTGGTCCTGAGGTAACTGAGTGGCCCTGAGGTGGCCATGCCCTTGGGTAGGTCATGATGCCCTTGAGGTGATCATGGACCCAGGGTAAGTGGTGATGATGACCTGGAAGTGACCATGGTCCTGAAGTGACCAAGAGCCAAGAGGTGACCCTGAGCCATGACGTTCCGAGGTAATGTGGCCATGGTCCTGAGGTGATTATGGCTCTGAGGTGGCCATGGCCCAAAGATCTGTAGCCATGGCTTTGAGCTGACCATGGTTCTGAGGTGACCGTGGTCTTGAAGTGGAGTAAGTGGCCATGGTCCCGAGGGGATCAAAAGCCCTGAAGCAGGTGCTGTGGCTCTGAGGTGACTGTGACTCTGAGGTGGTCAAGGTAAGTGGTCATGGCCCCAAGGTGACCGTGGCTGTGAGATGACCATGGCCCCAACATGACCATGGCCCTGAGGTGACCATGGCTGTGAGATGACCATGGCCCCAACATGACCATGGCCCTGAGGTGACCATGGCTCTGGGTGACCATGGGCCTGAGATAACCATGGCCCTGGGGTGACCATGGTCTTCAGGCGACCATGGCTCTGAGTGACCATGGCCACGAGTCCAGTGCCCATGGCCATGAAGTGCCAAAGTCCGTGCCCAGCCCCATCCATCCCACCCACACCCCCCTCCCACCACCCCGCTGTGTGCTCAGACCCCCCCACCCCACCCACAGCACCCACCCCGGGGCACCCCTCTCCTTTGTCGGCAGACAAAGGGAGCCCCGCCACCGGCGGTGGGGCGGGGAGCAACAACCACACCCCAACGAGGGGGCTACGACCCCGGCGAGCCCCTCAGAGCCGCGGGGGGGGGTCGCGTTGGGACCGAACCCCGTGCCCCCCACTCATGGGGGGCAAACTACAGCTCCCGGCACGCACCGCGCGGGGGCCGTGAGGGGCGGGGGGGGGGCGCGGGTGTGTGTGTGTGTGTGTGGGGGGGGGGGGGGGGGGGGGGGGGGCGCCCCCCCCCCCCCCCACCCCTGCGGCGGGCGGCACGTGCCGGCGCGCTGGGCCAATCGGGGCGGGGCGGAGCGGGTCACGTGCCTTTGTTTGGCGCTTTAGAGCGCGGCGGGGCGGGCGCGGGCGGAGTGTGGCCGGAGCGGCGGCGCGGGCAGGTGGGTGCGGAGCGGGGCTGTGCTGTTCAGTGGTATGCTGCCGTGAGGGGAGGGGTGGGAGAGGAGAGCGCTTAGGGACGGCCCGGCCGCGACCGCGGGATGCGCCCGCGGCGCCCTCCGCGTCTTGAGAGCGTTTACGTGTGTGTGCGCGTATTTTTGTGTGTATGCGTGTGTGTGTGGACGGTTACGGGGGTCCGCTGCCCCGTTGGGGAGGGCGGCGGAGGGTGTTCTGAGGGTGGGTGTCAGGGTGAGCTGCAGGGGGGATCCGCGGGCGCTCGGTGTGGGGGGGTCGCTTTTGTCCCCCGCCGGCTCGCGGGCATCGCTTCGCCGCTCGCCTTTTGGGGCGTCGCGGTGACAAAGGGAAGGGAGACAATGGGGGGAATAGAAGGGGGTGTGCCTAATGTGTGTCCCCGCGCCCCGATCGCTGAGGGGGAAGGGGGTGTCTATTGTCCCTCAGCGAGGGGCGACGCCCTACCCGCGGCGGCAGCGGCGGCGCCCCCTCCCCTCCCCGCCATTGTTAGTGGGGAAGGGGCGGTGTCCGGGCGGCCGCGCCACGACGCCATCGAGCTGGGGGGGACCCTCTTCGAGCCCCTTGTGCCCGTGTCGTCCCCACCTCACCCCCCTCCGTCCCTTTCGTCCCTGAGGGGGCTGAGGCGGGAAGGGGGGAGGAATGAGCGGGGAGGGGGGGGGGGGGGCGGCCCCCCACCCCGGGGGGGGGGGGGGGCGGCAGGTGCCCGGATGTTGCCGTTGGCCCCGCCCCCCCTCCCTCGAGCCCCCTCGCGCGGGCGCGCGCGCGCGCTCTCCCCGGCCGTTTGAATTCGGAGCGGCCGGGCGCGAGGGGGCGGGGCCGGGGCGGGGCCTCCACCCCCGCCTCGGCGCTGATTGGCCGGCGTCCCTTGGTGGGCGGGGCCGCGCTGGGCGCGGGGGGGGTGTGCGCGGTCCCAGCGCCGCCCGTTCGCTGCCCCGTCCCCGCCCGTCCCCCCGCGTCTTCATCGCTTAAAACCCCCCGGAAAAAAACCTCTTATGACGGTTTTTACACCCTTTACGGGCAATTTTTATGACGCCGCCGTTTTGACGAGGTGCATCTTCCCCCCGGGCACTGCGTGTGCGCCCTCGCTGCCTTGCACGTCTTGACTTCGGCTGCGCAATTAAAATAGAATTTTAAATGAGGTTTGATTGCGCACATTTCAGATCCTTCGGGAGCAGCGGGAATTCTGCCTGTGCTGCCCTGTTGTGTGCCATGTTTTAATTCGGATGGCTCTACCTGTGTGTGACAGCAGTGAAATATCCACAGCACTCAGTAAAACTGAGTCTTTGTTTGAGCGTCTTAATTACTGTGGAGTAAAACAGAGATTGAAGGTGCTCGAATAACACCCATAATGCAGAACCTCTCCACTGTTCCTAGCTATGTACATCAGCCTCATCCCCACAGACTGCCTGGGATCACTGACTGCAGTAACCTACCTGACTGCCTTTTGTTCAGCAGATCTTATTATGCTTAGCAATTTTTATTAGAAGGAATATAATCCGTGTGCTTGCTGTTCAAAGGCACATCTCTTTGTTGTCTAGGAATCCAACTGACTGACCTTCTCCCAGGGTTGGCTTCTGGAATCTTATTTTCTTGGTCATGGCTACTTCTGGTATGTAGTATTATGTACTAAATGCTCTTGTCTTTTTATTTTTAATTATTTTTTTTTTTTTTTTTTGCTTCTTAATTTCCTCAGAAATCGCTTAAAAAAAAAAAAAATCTAATCTAGTAAAATAAACTGTTCCCTCCCCGTGCTTTTCTCGTGTCTCTGGGCTGCTTGGGTGAAGCTGCTGCAACTGGGTGGTTGTGAAAACACCCCAAAAAAGCCTCCTCAGATGAGAGTGGCAGCAGATGGGCTCCAGCTCCCTGCAGCCATCTGCTCCCTCAGCAGAACTGACTCTGTCACCGAGGCATCCTGGGGACCCAGACGGGTGCAGCTGACACTGTGCAGGGCTGATGTGCCTCTTGGGGGGTTTGGAGACACCACCCTGCTTCTGGGTTTCCTTGAAAACTCCCTCTTCTTCTTGGCTCTGTCAGGTTTCAGGCAGGCACCTGGAAACTCGTCCTCAGACCTGGCCTTGGAGAAATGATGATTTTTAATTTGAAGCGCCGACAATTTATTTTTTTTTTGCCCCCCACGATTCTGGATATTAAAGGCTGAAACAAAATATGTCAGGTGCTTGGGTGATGTTGAATATCAAGAGGGAATTGCAAAGAAAATTGCTCCATTTTTTGAACGCTCTCGCTGTGCTTAAGACAAAACTGTTGTCTTGGATGCCTTCCCCTCCAGTGAGCTTTGTGGCAGGGAATGTTTGAAGGCTTTTAAGCCAGTTAGTGGCTTAAAAATGCTCTTATTTTGGCTTTTTTCCCCACGTTCCTAGACATCCAAGTGAAGGAGCTGGAGAAGAGAGCCTCTGGGCAGGCCTTTGAGCTGATTCTCAGTCCCCGCTCGAAAGAAGCCGTTCCAGAATTCCCTCTTTCTCCCCCAAAGAAGAAGGATGTGTCACTGGAGGAGATTCAAAAGAAGTTGGAAGCAGCAGAAGAGAGACGTAAGGTAAATCTGGGGCAGCCCAAGCGAGCTCTGCTCAACCAGCCCGTGCAAGTTATGCAGGTTTTCTTTTTTTTTTTTGGGTTTTTAATGGTTTGGGAGAAGTGATCAGTGGTTTCTGTTATGATAAATGGAATATTAACTGAGCTTTGTTGGAATCCCTGGGGCTCTTGTGAACCTTTTTCATGGTGTGGAAAGCCATGGCTTTATTTCCAAAGTGATTTTTGAACTGTCACTTGAATTGAAACAGGGGGGGAAAACGTTTAGTTGAGAGGGGCAGCTATTTCAGGAAGAAGCTGCTTTTCTTGTCTTTTTGGCACCAGAACAGATTAATTTTCCCCTAGAAAACGTAGTGGTGAATCTGTAATGAGCAGTTTGTTAATGCAGTGTCTGACTGATGAAAGATCTGGCTGTTGGTGTAGCCTGGAGCCCTTGATGGTGCCGAGGCTTTGACTGAAGTGAGCCTGACCTAAATCTCAGTGATTCGCCCTTCTGTGAAGGGAGAATCTTCAAGGAAAGTTCCATCAGTGTTAACACTAAGAAAAAAAAAAAATCCATGTTCTCTTTCCAGAAAAATCCCATTTAACAATGGTGACAGAGACTGAACCTCCCAGGTAGCTTGTGATGGTGCAGTACAGGTTCTGTGGGGGTGGGAGGGGGGAACACTGGGAGCTCTGTCCTGCAGCACCAAGCTGCTGCTCTGCAGTATAAAAAGGTAGAAAACATGTTCTCTGAGGAGCTGGGGGGCAGCTGAGGTTGCCTGTGTGCGGTTCCTCAACGCCTGCACCCCCTGCTTTGCCAGTCTCACGAAGCAGAAGTGTTGAAGCAGCTGGCGGAGAAGCGGGAGCACGAGAAGGAGGTGCTGCAGAAAGCCATCGAGGAGAACAACAACTTCAGCAAAATGGCAGAGGAGAAGCTGACCCACAAAATGGAAGCCAACAAAGAGAACCGTGAGGCACAAATGGCTGCCAAGCTGGAGCGCTTGCGGGAGAAGGTGGGTGTGGGGTCCCCTTGGAGAGGGAGTTGTTCGTGCTTCCCTGCTTGGAAAACTGGCTGAAAACCCCCGGGTGAACGGCCACGTGAAGGGGGTGCTGTGGATAGATGGGTGCCCTTGGGCTGCTGTGACCTTCAGAGGTTCTAAAACCTGCAAAAGGTTGTGCAGAAACGCAGCTCTTTGGGGGGAGAGGGGACGGGATGGAGGGAGGGAGTTAGGGCAGTGTTTTGCTTTCTCCTCTAAAGCTCCACCCTGTTACCCCCTTCGGTGACCCACCTCAGGGTTCCTGCTGTGAGCTGGGGGTGGGAAGCCCTGTGCCTTTCCCGGGATCCCTGCCTTTCCCGGGATCCCTGCCTTTCCCGGGATCCCTGCCTTTCCCCGGGATCCCTGCCTTTCCCCGGGATC